AATAGCCATTTGTTAGGTATTGCTCTCAATGACCCTTATTACTTTCAGTTTTGCATGGTAGATGTTTGTGTCCATATCTTGCTTGGCCTGCTAGATACTTCTAGGTCAGTGAGGGTAGAAATCAAGACCATGTGCCTCCACCCTCACTGTTTTCCCTCAGGGCATAATGTCTATAGAGTTGAATTAAGTTACAGAAGAGATGTCCCTTTGAGGGTTGAGGTGCTTGCTGAGACTTAAGCAGGTGTAAGAATCTTTTTTTTTTAATATATTTTTATTGATTTTTCACAGAGAGGAAGAGAGAGGGATAGAGAGCTAGAAACGTTGATGAGAGAGAATCATCGAGCTGCCTCTTGCACAACCCCTACTGGGGATGTGCCCACAACCAAGGTACATGCCCTTGACCGGAATCGAACCCGGGACCTTTCAGTCCACAGACCGATGTTCTACCACTGAGCCAAACCAGTGCCGGCAAGAATCTTGTTCTTTGTCTGTCTGTTGGGTGATATCTCTTGGCTCTGATGGCAATGGCTTCTCCATCCCCTTCCCACCAACACACTCATCAGGCTCTTAGCTCTTTCCTACTAAAATATCTTGTGCATGCTACTTCACAACAATGCTGAGTTTAGAGGAGTTTACTGTGAAGGGTTGGAATCTGAAATTAGATACAATGGGGTCGGGAGGGACACAAATCCAACCAAAATTAGACACAATGGAGAGAGGGTACACAGAAAGCCCTGGATAAATATTTGGTGAGTATCAGAATGAACTAGTTAATGCTTCACCTTGGTCTTACAAGCATGGCAATGGCCCAGTTTCCAGAAATCAGACCATCCAGGAATCTCAGAGGCAAGAAAAGTGAGCCAGTGCTAAAGACTGTTGAGCTAGAGTTCAGGAAATCAATCCCTCCCAACTCAGACTTAGATGAGAGTGTGAAATCTAGAAACCATTACTGGGGGTGGAGCTCGAAGTTCTCAGGTGGAGAATTCAAATGTTCCTCTCCGGCCCATGGACCTGAACATGGACTGTCCCCCTGCCCCCACCATGTCAAACACCAACCCATGTGAGCACAGGGCTAAGTGAGCAAAACAGCAGTTAGCTTTCAGGCTATTGCACCAATGATATTGATCTCGCCCAAACTGCATTTCCCACTGCTGTTCACCAATGAGACAGGAGAAGTCAATGCAGCTGCTGAGGGGAAGTGTGGCTGCCTGAGGACACCCAGATACCTTCTCCAGATCTCAGCTTGTGCCTTTCATTCGTCATTGCATAATGAGACCCTATAGGGTTTTTTTTTTCTTTTAGGTGGTATCTATTTATATTTTTACAATTAGCATGCATTACTTTTGGAATAAGAAAGAGTAAATATTTTTTAAATATCAGTAATAACAAAATAGAGACTATTCCTGTCCATGGAAGAGTGTTATAAATATGTTTTGCATACATATACTTAGACTAAGAGAAATGCATGATGCATTTATAAAGTCTAACAGCAAGCATCTGGCTTAGAATCCAGCCACTTATTTCCTTCATAAATTCACAAAAATTACTTAATTATTCTGAGCCTGAATGCCTTCAACTGTAAAATAGGAATAAGAACTGTAAAATGGAAATAATAAGCTAGTTTTTAATTATATCATGAGTATTAAATGATGTGTAGTATGTTAAAGTATCCACTATATGCCAGTTTAATAAATGTATACAATCAATAAGTACAATCCTTTTCCTATTAAAAATAAAAATGAAATATCAGCAATAAAATGAAAACATAAATAATGTCCCTCCATAGTTAAAATTCATCATTGCTTCATTGCTCCCAGGATGAAGTTCAAAGTCCTCCAGACGGCTCCTGAGCCCTGCCTGCTTCCCTTCCCCCCTTCACTGCCCACCCCCTCCCCCCCATTCACTTGCTGTTCTTCCAGAGTACTGCACTCTTGCTTTGTCTCTAGCAGGTCCAACTGCCCTAAATGCCCTTCCTCTTAGGCTCAACTATATCTGGTCTCACCTTAAATACGATGTCTTCCTGGAGCCTTCCCTGCCCTTCACCCCTAAGTCCAGATGGGGAGGCTGTCTCCTCTCTCTTCCTAGCATCCTGTACTTAATCCCCACCAGAGCCCTTACCTCAGTGCGGTGAAGACGTTACACTGTAGGCTTTGTGTCTGCATAAATACCCTGTTTCCCAAAAAATAAGACAGTATCTTATATTAATTTTTGCTCCCAAAGATGCGCTAGGTCTTATTTTCAGGGGATGTCTTATTTTTCCATGAAGAATACGGTACACATTTATTGTTAAATGAAAATAAGGGAAATTTATTACCTGTATACAATATGGTAGTATGGTAGTTGTCAACACAAACCAGACAAACTGTGAATCCTACAGTATCAAGAATTTACTCATTTATTCAATGACAATCATGTCATCATCTTCTGGAACATCATCATAACAATCCAATTCCTGAATTTCCTGGTGAATTTCTTGTGACTCCATTTCTTTCAGAATCAGTGGACCAAATCTCTCATGTTTAGCCTGGAGGGGGGACCTTATTTTCAGGGGGATGCCTTATATTTCACTCAGAAGGAAACCTGTAAGTAGGTCTTATTTTCGGAGGATGTCTTATTTTCGGGGAAACACGGTATGTCTTTCTTGTTCTCGGTATATTCTCCCTGCCTGGCATTTACTAGATGTTCAGTTAAACATTCTTATTACACACAAACACACACACACACACACACACACACACACACACACACACACACACAAAAAAAAAACCTAATAACAATTAGCTATTAGATTTAGCTATTAGATTTGGAAGGGTTGTTAAGAAAACAGCTAGCCTAACTCCTTTTTTAACAGTGAGACCCAGAGAAGCAATTCAGGTCTAATCCCAGTCCTTTCCTGAATTGCTGTGTGTTTTTAGGAAACAACTGGGTGAGTAGGTGGGCTGGTGAGGGAGAAATAGAAGCTCAAGTCCATCCCTTCAAATTGTTGCCAATCAAGGAGAGGAGATAAAACACACAGAGTGAGGACATGCTAAATTAAATGTTTCGGGTGATTCCGTTTTGCTGGGAGATCAAAAAAGGAAGCGAACAGGAAAGCCTGAGGGCAGGAAGGCTCCTGCAGGAGGTGAGGCTAAGCTGAGCGGGCAGAATCCACTAGGCTGTGAGGATGGGAGGAGCAGAGCCCGGCACGGAGCCGGCTCTCCACCCCATGGGATGTGCGCAGAGAGGGTCAGACGCTGTGGATGCTGAGCCCAGCGCTGCCACTTACTAGGCCTGACCGGGGACGAGTTTCTCAGCCCTTCTAATCCTCAGCTTCCTTTCCCTGCTCACCATGGGAATCTGGATGTCTAACTTGCAAGAGTTTTTTGATGATTAAACGTGTGACAGTATCTAGAACAGTGCCTGTGCCTAACAGATCATTTTAAGAAATGCTACTTTCTTTTCTTCCTTCCAGCCACGTAAACAGACTTGACATGTCACTGGCAAGGACACCAAAAGCACAGCTGGGGGTTTGGGGGCTGAAGGCTTTTTCTGCCTAACCATTCACAGTATGTTTACTCCGATAGGTGTTCTCTCTCTCTCTCTCTCTCTCTCTCTCTCTCTCTCTCTCTCTCTCTCTCTCTCTCTATCTCTCCTGTTAAATCCAAGAGAGAGAGAGAGAGCTGTTTCTAACCCCCTGGTCAGAGGGAGTCACACCAGGAGCTATCTCTGACTGTCAACACCCAAGTCTGGCCTTAAGGTCTCCCTCCATCACGGGACATATAAGACATAAGATTATGAGACTAAATGTCATTTTCTATGGGACTGGAGGGAGAGGCTTTAATTAAATTATAGAACAATCCTGTAAAATACCTTGGAACATTTATAAAGCTATTGATGTTTCTGTAGGTGAACGGAATGAGGCCTGTGCTGGGGAGAATTGGGAGGCGGGGAGGGATTGTTTCGGTTCACCCCGGCTGAGGACAGATTGAGTGATCAGCATGTAGGAACAGCACTGCAAAGGAGACGCAGCACATCTCATTCATTGGCGCCTCCCGGGACAGATTGGCAGTGGGTGCTCATGAGTGGAGCTCAGGTCTTGAAGGAAAGCATTTAAAGTTGGATTTGAGCCGGGACCGGTTTGGCTCAATGGATAGAGCGTCGGCTTGGGGACTGAAGGGCCCTGGGTTCGATTCCGGTCAAGGGCATGTACCTTGGTTGCGGGCATATCCCCAGTACGGGGTGTGCAAGAGGCAGCTGATCGATGACTCTCTCTCATTGATGTTTCTAACTCTCTATCTCTCTCCCTTCCTCTCTGTACAAAAATCAATAAAATATATTTTTTTTAAAAAAGTTGGATTTGACCAGAGGTTATTCATCTTGGAGGACTTTCAACTCTTGTGGGAATCCAATAGAGAGAATATGGTCTTGTTCTTGGGAAAACTCAGATGTACCCTAAATTCTACTTGCAGTGTCATGATAATCATGGGACCCAGGTGTATAATGCCTCACTTTTTAAAACTTTGCAACTATTTCTTCATTTCATTACCCAGTTTCCAGCCTTGGAGACGTAACCCTACCACTAACTGCTTCTCAGGTTGTGAATGGGAACTGAGGACTTTAGTTCCAGGCATCAGCTTTTAGGCTTTCCTCTTGTCTCCTCAATCTTTCTAGACTAGCAGCTCTCGAACCAGAGTGCACGTGAGAATTATTGCACTGACAGGCTGATGATAAAAGGGGGACTTCAACTTTATCTCTTACCTAACAGGATGAAAACAGGCACTTATTATATCAGCCTGAACTTTATATTTTTTTTTAACTTCAGAAAAGAAAGAATAACATTTAAAGAATCTCAGCTCAAGTTGAATATACTCGATGGGACAGTTAGAGAACGTTCTGGGATGTTTTTTACCTGATGCATGCACTTGATGTCCTCAGCCAGGGGTTTGGGGGACACAGGCTGGAAGCACATGGGCCTCAGAGGGTTAGCACCCAGGACCTAACCCTTTTCCCCCTGGCTGCAGGACTACAGAGTCAACATCTTCCTGCGGCAGCAGTGGAATGACCCCCGGCTGGCCTACAACGAATACCCCGACGACTCCCTGGACCTGGACCCGTCCATGTTGGACTCCATCTGGAAACCAGACCTGTTCTTCGCCAACGAGAAGGGGGCCCACTTCCACGAGATCACCACGGACAACAAGCTGCTCCGGATCTCCCGCAGCGGGAACGTCCTCTACAGCATCAGGTGAGCCCATGGCTCGTCGCCTCCATCCTCAGCACTATCCTGCCCCATTGTCTTCTGGGAGCAGACAGAAGAGGCGGGTCAAACAGGTGAAGAGGCCCTGGCTACCTGACACCTTTGCCAGATGGGCAGAGCCAGCCCACAAGGTTCACTCAGCAAGTGAGAATAAAATACCGGGCAAAGTCCTAGGGGCGAGTGAATTATTCTAACCAGGGAGATCCAGGAAGCATCAGGGAGAAGTTAGACCCCTACCCTTACCCAGAATTTCGATAAAGAAAAAGAGAATTCAAAGGCAACTATGGGTAGCACGAGCATGCAGCTACACAGGATGCATAAGTTCTAGAGAACCGCTGGACAACACGGTGCCATAGTTAACAATACAATATTGAATGCTTCTACACTTGTTAAGAGGGTTCATCTCATGTTAAGTGTTCTTACCAAAATGTTTAAAAATAGCAGGAGCAAAGGCATAAAACCTGAAAAACTTCAGCAACTTCCTGCCGGTCAGTGGCACTGCTCACTGGTACCAGTCAGGGCTGCTCCATCCCTTCTGGAAATGCTTCCCTTGTCTCCTCAATCCCTTGTCTCCTCCTTACCTTGTACCGAGTCCAGGAAGCTGGGCCCTCTTCCCCAGCTTCCTGCAGATACTGGTCAGAGGCAAGCTTTCAGAGTCCCCTGCTGCTCCTCCCCACCTAATTCCCAATCTTGTCCCCAAGACATGAAGAAAATGACTAATGTCCATGTGATTCTTACAGATCGCCATTCACTGAAATGTACTTACACAGATGATTTCTAATCCTCCTCACAACCCAATGCAGTAGGTTTTATTGTGCCCATTTTGCAGATTAGACAAGTGAGAACCTGAAAGTTGAGTACTTAGCAAAGTTCCCACAGATAATCTGATGTCCACTCAGAACCTTAAAGAACCGGGTTGTGGCATTCAGTGGGAACTCAAATATTTGCTGAATGAAGATGTTTTTATTTGAAAGGGCTTAAAGGGAGCACTGATCCTAAATGACTCTGCCTCCTCATCCTCCCATTCCTCTGGGGACTAAACCTTTTCATTTCCATTTGAAGATGAGCTTTTTAAAAAAAAATTATTTGTATTGACTTCAGAGAGGAAGGGAGATAGAGATAGAAACATCAATGATGAGAGAGAACCATCTATCAGCTGCCTCCTGTACACTCCCTACTAGGGATCCAGCTCACAACCTGGGCACGTGCCCTGACTGGGAATTGAACCATGATCTCCTGGTTCCTAGGTCAATGCTCAACCACTGTGCTGGAAGGTGAACTTGAAATGTCCAGTCTCACAGGAGAGGCTGCACAGGTCCCAGTCCTCAGATGTGGCCAAAAAGCAGACTGGCTGGGAGAGGGGACTTAGAAATATCTGCAGGGAAAGTATCACCACAGAGGGGCAGGCTGGGAGGAACCAGGGGCAGATGCCTTCCAAACCTAGGAGCACATTCCAACCCACCCTTCCAGTCTGGATGGGCTCAGCAAATGGTACCAAGGCCGTGGCTGGCTGGCGGTCAGGGAGGGTCACCCTGCCTGGCTCTTGCTGCTGCCAGCTAGTTTCATGTCTCTGGGAAGCTAGGCCCCAGTGCAGCATAACAGAGGAACAAAACAGCAGAAAGTGATATTCCCAAGGTCATTCAACTTCAGGAAATTAACCCAGTGTGACAGCTGCCCCATCATGGAGGTTTCAGCTTCAGAAATCAACTGCATTCACTTTCCTTCTCCTCCTTCCTTCTCTCTCTCATCTCCCCCTCTCTTCCCCTCTCCTTTTCCCCCTCTTGCTTCTACTTTGTGCTTGAAGGGACCCACATGGGAGCTATGGGTGTGAGCTGGAGGGCAGAGGTTCACACAGAGCCTGGTGCCTCACCACGTGCCGCCAGGGTGCCAGCACTGAGTGATCACCTCCAACTCGGTGCCTTTCAGGACAGCAGTGCTGGGAATCCAGCCAGCCAGCGTCCACGCTCAGCATCCCAAGGATGGCAGACCTGGTTAAATCCTGCCTGAGCCATTGGCTTGCTGTGTGACCTTACACGAGCCCCTCCCTACCTTCCCTCCTGCGCACCTCACCTGTCAAATGAGGGAGTTGGCCTGATGATCTAAGGCTCTTTCTTCTCCGTCCCCTGCAGCAGGTGCTCAAATGTTGACAAAGCCATTCAAGCAGAAAAGCCTGTATCCCAGCAGGAGCAGCAGACCGCGGGCTCTGCTAAGGGGGCTTCCTCTGGGTCTAAGGCGACTGCCCTCTGCAAGGGTTGAATAACCCAGAATAAGCAGCTAGCCCAGAAGCCAGGGATGCCCACCACTTCCCAGCTGACACTAGCAGGAGCCCACAGATGTCAGCCAGCTGTGTTTGGATACCAACTGTTTAGGGATCTTTTGAAATAACTTTTGATGAGCATAGGGTATGAAGTGGGGGGAGTCAGGAACCAGGGGCAGCACCTGCTGCCAGTGTACCTGGGGATGCCTGAGGCCTGGTGCTGCTCAGAGGATCATTCAGGCCCTGTCCAGACCCAAGGCCTCTGCAGAAGAGCAGGGCTGGGGAGCCCCCAGCCTCCAGGTCTTCGGGCACCTTGCTAACGGCAGGCCCCGAGGAGCCAGATAGACTCCAAAGAAACACAGATGTTCTATTGATTTTGTGACCTTCATCTCTCTGCCCCATTTACATATCTGAAGTGTGGAGATGTATGTACATATGTTGGTTCCCTGACCTCCTTGACCCCTTGACCTCTCTAAATTAAGTGGCTTCTGGTAGTAACTAGCATGGAGGCACAACTTCCCTGGTCTGTGGACTCAGCATCATTCAACTCCCTTCTCTCCCCAGAATCACCCTGACGCTGGCCTGCCCCATGGACTTGAAGAATTTCCCCATGGACGTCCAGACATGTATCATGCAACTGGAAAGCTGTGAGTCTCTCACGTGAGGCCTTTAGAAAGAACCAGTCTCCCTTCTACCCACAGGACTGGCAGAAATTCCCACACAGCTGCTCCCAACCGCTGGCCCCAGGAGGTTACTGCAATAGCTCAAAAGGCCAGATGAGGAGCTTGGCTCTGAAAGAATGCTTCAGAAATATAACTCCCCTTATACTGTCAGAGGCCCAGCTCTGGAGTCAATAGCATTCTCCAAAGAGGCACTGTCCCCTGTCCCTCATGAACATGCTCCCGGGGAGTGACAGGGAAATAGCTGGAATAAGACATGGTCCTTGAACTTACAGGAATGCTCCCTCCAGCAGGGAGACGGATGGCTGGCTAACACAGGGCAGCGAGTGATAGGTGTTCCATTAGAAGTAGAAAAGAGGGTGGCCTTATTCTGATTGGGCCTCCTTCTGATTGGGAAGGAGGCCCAATATTGGGAAAAGTTTTATGGAGATCAAATGAACCAGGATTTTAACAGCTGGGGTAGGTAGCTGGATTCTTTGTAAACCCAGAGAGCAATCAGACACATTTTAAAGGTAGAATTAAATGGAAAGATATGGAGGTTCCTCGTGAACTTGTAGGAGAAACCAGAAGCACAGAAACTGGGGCAGAGCATTTAGGCAGCAGGGACTAATGGGCCCTCCCCTTGGAGCAACACCTCTGGAGACAATCAGCATCACCCAACTGCTGAGCCTCCTGAGACTTCACCCAAGGGCCAAAATCCTGAGGCAAAGGCCTAGTTGAGTCAGCATCTCACTGTTTGGCCCCAAATGAGTCCCACCACAAAAACACCCCATAGAGTCATTCTCCTGAGGAAAGTTTGCTGTAAGCAAAAGAGGGAGCTTGCAAGGATGGTGTACAGGCAGGAATAGCAGATGTCAACTGAACTTGACCAGGAGGTAAGGGGGAGGGGCAACAGGACACGCTAAGGTAGGGTGCTGGGAGTTGTAGGGAGAGAAAGAGAAGGGTTTGGGGTAAATATAAACAATTAAACCAGTTTTAACTTCCTGGAGGAGGGGGGAGAAGCAATATGGTTTCATGAGTTCCCTCAAGTGCCTGGTGCCTCTCTCTCTAACCCTCAAGCCAGACAGACCTCAAATAAGTGCTTCTAAGTGGTGACTGCTCCTTCTTCTTCTGATCCCATCCCAGTTGGCTATACCATGAATGACCTCATCTTTGAGTGGCAGGAGCAGGGAGCTGTGCAGGTGGCAGATGGACTAACTCTACCCCAGTTTATCCTGAAGGAGGAGAAGGACTTGAGATACTGCACCAAGCATTACAACACAGGTAGGTGTGAGGGGCCACCCTCCGCAGGTCCCACCTCCCCGCCCCCACCAGGGCCAGAGATCATTTCAAACATCCATTCAGTCATTGCTTCAACATGATGGACAGAGCTCTGTGTTTACTCCTAGTGGTTATATATTTATTAAAGTGGCTCCGACCCTTTCTTCCTGTGAGTCCTGGGGTAAAAGTAACTTAAACTTAGGCCCCAGCTCATCACAAAGGAAGCTGGGAGAGTCTTTATTCCAGGCAGCAGGGCACCTAATTCAAAATGGACCCAATTCCTAAGGCAGAAGGAAGAGCCAGTATAGGGAGGACCTCTGTGTCAGAGGAATTGCTCAAGGCAAAGGATGGAGTGTAGGTGGTCCCAATTAAGGTGAAGAAAGGAGGGACATGGGGTGGAAAAGCAGGCAGAGCTCCATTGTGAAGGACAGACTAAAGAGTTTGAACTTTCCCTGCAGGTAATGGGGATCTTCTTGTATGAGGAGAGAAGGAAGGAAAGAAAGGTTTTACAAAGGGAAGTAACAGGATCCAGTCATGTTTTGGGAAGAAAACTGGCAGAAGGAAAGAGAATGGTCCACTTAGGCCCACTCTTTGCAACAAAATAGTGAGGATGAGGATGATCGCAACTGACATTCCCGAGCACTAATGATGTGTGAGGACTGTGCTAAGTTCTTTATAGGCGCCATCTCATTCTCTCATCACAGTTACCATATGAGTAAACATGTGAGGTAGGTATTTTTATTATTATTATTATTATTATTATTATTGTCATCTTCATCATCATCCTCAATTTTCCATAGACAAGATTGTTCTGACCTCAAAGTGTTGTTCCTATCCACAAGGCTACTTTGCCTTCTCATTACCATTTCTTGCAGGTAAATTCACCTGCATTGAGGCTCGGTTCCACCTGGAGCGACAGATGGGCTACTACCTGATCCAGATGTACATTCCCAGCCTGCTCATTGTCATCCTCTCCTGGATTTCCTTCTGGATCAACATGGATGCTGCCCCAGCCCGTGTGGGCCTGGGCATCACCACCGTGCTCACCATGACCACCCAGAGCTCTGGCTCTCGAGCATCCCTGCCCAAGGTAAGTCCCACTGCCCATGCACACAGAGCACCTGGACAAGTAGGACACTCATCTCCCTCCCCTGCCTGCAATAAGGACAGCACGAGGAATTAGTCACTATTTCTTCATCTACCACACTTGGCAGGGTCCAGCACTCTGATTCACCAAAACCTTCCTCCAGATTTAACATTATGTTCAAAACAAACACAAAAGAAAGAAGGAAGGAAGGAAGGAAGGAAGGAAGGAAGGAAGGAAGGAAGGAAGGAAGGAAGGAAGGAAGGAAGGAAGGGAGGGAGGGAGGAAGAAAGGAAGGAAGGAAGGGAGGGAGGAAGGAAGGAAGGGAGGAAGGAAGGGAGGGAGGAAGGAAGGAAGGGAGGGAGGAAGGAAGGAAGGGAGGGAGGGAGGGAGGAAGGGAGGGAGGGAGGGAGGGAGGAAGGGAGGGAGGGAGGGAGAAAGAAAGGAAGAAAACTTTTTTGTTTTTAAAGGAGAGTTATGGTAGTTATCTTTTTTTTTAATATATTTTATTGATTTTTTTTACAGAAAGGAAAGGAAAGGAAAGGGATAGAGAGTTAGAAACATCGATCAGCTGTCTCCTGCACACCCCTACTGGGGATGTGCCCGCAACCAAGGTACATGCCCTTGACCAGAATCAAACCTGGAACCTTTCAGTCTGCAGGCCGACACTCTATCCACTGAGCCAAACCAGTTTCGACTGGAAGCATTATTTTCAATACAATCCCGACACCTTTTAGTCCATTCTCTACCAACATTAGATACACATTCTGCTTCATTTACTATTAACACTCAACTCCTCCATTCACTTTCAGTGCTGAGTACAACATTCCACCCCTTTCACCATTAATGTAGATACTCTGTATTGGGAGTCTCCAAGACCACCCCCATGTTCAGAGACTTGATAGGACTCAAAGACTCAGCATATAGTTGTACTCAAGGCTAAGACATCTTACAGTGATATATCCAGATTGCACAGCTAGAAGACAAGGAAAGTGATATGCGCAGAGTCTGGAGGAATCCATGGACAGGCTTCCTTGCTCTCCCCCTCCCTCCCACAAGGGACCACACAGAGAGCACCCTCGTACCCCAGCAACAAAAGGCAGCACAAGTGTGAAATGTTTCTTCCCAGAGAGACAGAAAATTTAGAGATTCATTTAAGATTCATTATTGGGCCAGGCTGGTGTGGCTCAGAGGTTGAGCTTCAATCCATGAACCAGGAGGTCACAGTTCAATTCCCAGTTGGGGCACATGCCCAGGTTGTGGGCTCAATTCTCAGTAGGGAGCGTGCAGGAGGCAGCTTATGGATGATTCTCCTCATTGATGTTTCTCTCTCTCCCTTTCCCTTCCTCTCCCTAAAATCAATAAAAAACTTATTTTTCTTTAAAGATTCATTATTGAAGGTTTTTACTGGATGCTGGGTGCCTAGAACATAACAAAATTCCAGACCCCCAGAAGGAAAACAGATGTTCAGCATAAACCATGTTGTTTGCACAAGCAGTCCAAGCACCCTTATTAGTTAGGGAAAGTGGGAACAACCCCCAAATCCAACTTCCCAAATGTTCTCCAAGGGCCAGCCTTGCAAGCAGGTCCTTTGTAAGGTAGCAGCCTCAAGTGTTATGCCTGATATGTTAACCCTCCTCTACATACCTTAATCTGATCTCTAATGTTAAATACTACTTCCTAATACATTCACTAGTAACTCTTAAGTAGTATGCTATTCCATTCACTATTAACCCTAGACCACAGATTTCACTCCGTTTACTAGTAATGCCAGGTACGCATTCTGCTTCATTCATTCTAGGCCAGACACCACATTCTGCTCCATTCTTCCAAGACCGGGCACAGCATTCCGCTTCATTCATTACTGACAACAGACACTAACTCTCCTCCAGTCACCCTCACTGTAAATGTACCATTCTGTTCCCTTCACTATTAACACTAGAGCTCAAATTCCCCTTAATTCACTTGTAACATCAGACATAATGTTCTATTTCATTTACTCTTAGTGCCAAATACCACATACTCCTCCATCCCCCTGTGCTTGAGATCCGAGGTTCTGCTCCCTTCACAGTGAATGCCAAGTGCCCCTTCTTCTGTGCTCTCTTCTACCGCTAGGCATTGCCTCCGCCTACATTCCCGCTGTCATTGGAGACACATTCTGCTTTATATTCAACACTAGAAACAACATCCTGCACTGCTCCCAATGCCAGACACCACTTTCTGCTCCCTCATGCTAAGTGCAATGTGCAGCATAATGTCCAATTAATGCCACTTGACATTCTGTTTTGATACAGAAACACTGAAATAACACACAATGAGCACCATAACACCCTTTACCTGCATTCCAATTGTTAGCATTTTGCCTCATTGCCTTCATCTCTGTCCCTCTATATATAGATAGGTAGGTGGGCAAGGGAAGTAGGTAGAGAGATGCACAGTTTTTGCTCAAGTATTTGAAAGCTACCCACACTATGACAATAAAGAATAGGGATCACAATGATATTATGGCATCTAAAAAATTAACATTAATTGAACAAAATGAACATTAATTGAATAATTATTATGGAATTAGGAATAACAAAAATTCAAGCCTCCTATGGACATCTCACCCCTGTTTAAGCTTTTTGATCAACCTATTGTTTGCCTCAATAATTACCTGTTAATGCTTAACAGTTGTCACTGTTTTCAAGTGCCCCCAGGGAAAGGCTGTTCAGACTGGGCCAGCAGTTTTCAGTGAGCCCTGCCCGCCCCCCATAAGGTCCAATAATGACAGTCTTCTGGAGACAGAGCTTTGCACAAGCTCCAACTCTGCTCTGCCCCATCAGTGGCTGCCAGGACATTGGTTTTCAAGGCTGGCATGGAGCTGAGGGAAGGGGATGGAAATGGGGCAATTTAAAACGCCACAAAGCCCCAAGGGAAATTAAAACATATGTCCACACAAAATTTGTACACAGATGTTTGTAGTGGCATTATCCATAATAGTCAAAAGGTAGAAACAACCCAAATGCCCACCAGCTGATGAATAGATCAACAAAATGTGGTATATTAATACAATGGAATATTATTTGGCCATTAAAAATGAAATACTGCCTGGCTGGCATGGTTTAGTGGTTGAGTGTTGACCTATGAACCAGGGGATCATGGTTCAGTTCCCACTCAAGGCACGTGCCCAGGTTCCAGGCTTGATCCCCAGAGTGGGGCATGCAGGAGGCCGATGATCAATGATTATCTCTCATCATTAATGCTTCTCTCTCTCCCTCTCCCTTCCTCTCTGAAATCAATAAATATATATTTTAAATGAGATACTAATACATTACAATATTGATAAATCTTGAAAATGTTATGCTAAGTGAAAGAAATTAGTCATAAAAGGTCACATATTATTCCATTCATATGAAATGTCCAGAACAGGGAAATTTATAGAGACAGAATGGATTACTAGTTGCTTAGGACTGGGGGTAAGGGAATTGGGGCAATAGGGAGATGACAGCTAAAAGTTACTAGGTTTTCTGTTTTGTTTTTTTGAGGTGATAAAGTTCTGAAATGGACTGTGCTGATGGTTGCACATTATCTATGAATGTATAAAAAAAATCATGGAATTGAACACTTTAAATGTGTGTATTGTGCAATATATAAATTATATCTCAATGAAACTGCTTTTTAAAATACTCCAAAGCTTGCTGTTCTGAGATTCAGTTGTCTTCCTTAAATAAATGCCCACAGGATTGCTGTTGGTCTAATGGCTAATTACCAGAGTTCTGAAAAAAGTTTATTGTGACCATTTTTGCTGGTTCTCTTGTTGCTTTGATGGAGGAGCGAGTTTCTGAAGCTCTTATTGCACAATTTGCTGTCATTCTCCACTTTGACATTAGTTGTGGCATCCCGTTCCTTCTCCCTGAGACTAAACACAGCATTCTGTTCCACTGAATAATAATGCTGGGCCCACTGTCCTCCTCTTGCCAGTGCTCTTCCAGGCACCGTGTTCCATTGTGCCCAATATTCTGCCCAGTCTACTTGATATGTTTTTCTTTTCTTTTTTTCTTCTGTAACCTCCAACCTAATATCCCAGCTAAGGAGAGGACAGCAGTGGGGGATGAGAGGAGTTACTGAATGTTTACTGAAAACATTCTGCAATATTCCACCCTCCTCTGCCCTCACTCCCTTGTGTCCTCCCCCCTCTTCCCCACCTCAGGTGTCCTATGTGAAAGCCATTGACATTTGGATGGCGGTGTGCCTGCTCTTCGTGTTCTCCGCCTTGCTTGAGTATGCTGCTGTCAACTTCGTGTCTCGGCAGCACAAGGAGCTGCTCCGGTTCAGGAGGAAGCGAAGACACCACAAGGTAGGCTTTTGGGTCACTGCCTGAGGGAGGAGGGACAGCTGGTGGCAGCCTTGTCTTGTGATACTTGTGTTGCTGGACCATCCTTCTCGGTGGAAAAGGCAGGCATGAAACAGGAATTAAAGTCATAGAAGTCCTGGCTTCCTCTCCCATAAATAAGGCCCTGATTGGGTCTATAGGCAGTCACTCTTTCAACCGTGAAAACACTGCAGAAATTATCAGGTTGCACCCAAAGACAGAACTGATGGAGCAAATGCAGATGGCACCAAGATAATGACTAGCTAAAAACCCAAAGCATGGCAGGCTGTGAAATGCTAATTGGTGTTTCCTGCAGGACTGCACTATTTCAGTGGGCATGGTTCTAAAGGGAAGATCTTAGAGTAGAATGTCCACATCCGTGGCTTCTGCTTCCTACCTCCAAGAAAGAGCCATCAGGAAAGATCCTCCCATGAGCGGATTCTCTCACTAAGGGACTAAATAAAGGAATATTTGGCAGGCCATCTCTGAAAAGTCACCTACCACCAAATGCCACTGGGGAGCGTGCAGCCTGTGGGAGCAAACTGGCCCCACGCCTGATCCATAGTTACCTCCCCAGGAGGATCGGAGAACCCACTCTTCTCTCCAGCCTCATCTTCACATTTGATTGCTGTTGGTGTCACTGGGAGGATTTGACCTCCAGGCCAATTGGCTGTGAGGACCAGCTGTGGCTACGGTGGGAGAGCTGCTGTGCAGGAGACACCCCTATGGAGCAGGATTGTTTCAGTGGGGCTTTGGTGCTCACTGGGTCTGCCCCTTGAGTGTAGCTTGTGGATGTGTAGAGTTATAATCTGGTGTGGTCTGAAGCTGTCTATCAGGTGCACTGGCTCTGGAGCATCCCAGGAGGTGCAAAGTCAGCCACTGCCTGAGGCTACCTGACAGAAGCTACAGAGAGATCTGGAGATTCCTCCTATCTGTATCAGGTTTGGAAGTGCCCAGCTGAGGCCTAGCTGTGAAGCAAAACAAGCTAGTGCTTGGGCCTTTTATTGATGTTTGGGGCATGCCCACACCAAATGCAGCTTGTTTGAGAGATATTAGCAAAGTCTGAAGCCTGAGCCAAGATAAGCCATTCATATGGAAAAGTTGCTGCATACAACTTGGGTGGGGCTTCAAATTGGATGGAGTGGGGTCTCAGGGAACCAGCAAGCCAGAGCAAACAGTGTGTTCCAGGTTGATGGGGACTCAGATATGGTTTCTAATCAGCCCTGGGGCAGAGGAAGTCTCAGCATAGGAACAATGACCCCTGTGAGCTGCCCCCAAGTTCCTGCCCCAATGCCAGACAATCCAGTTGCTCCCTGTGTGTGTCTACATCTCCCAATGCCTCCTGGCATTGAAGCTCAGAGGAAGTGAGTTAAGTAAGTTCATGCCTTTTCCTTTAAGAGAAACACCTGGGTCTCAGGAAACCTCCATGTCCCTCAACCACAATCCCTGCTCATTTTTACAGCCTGAAGTTACAGGGACTTTTCTTCCCAGCTCTGGGACCTTCAGTGGGGGGTCTGGTGTGGGCCTGGGACTCCTTGCTTCTCACAGTGCCCTCTGAGGGGATGATCTCCCTCAGTTTAAAGAAAAACATTGGTACACGTGGATGCTGGACCAGCCCATTCCATGTCTCCGCCCCTCCTACCAGTCTCAACATGCTTTTTTACTTTTCTAGTTGTAGGATGTCCATTCAGCGAGCTTTCAGGTGGTTCTGAATGATGGTTGTTCTGTAATTTAGTTGTAATTTTGATGTGGTTGTGGGAGGTGGCGAGGACTGACCTTTACCTACGCTGACATCTTCTCATGTATTATTTATGCACTTTCTCTGTTGCCCCTGTGCGTCCCCAACTCCCTGCCTTGGGCTCACTACCAACATGCCTGCTGCCCTTATCCTTCTCGTCTCTCCGTTTCTGAGCTAAGTGATCATCTCCTGTTCATATGTTCAGTGTTTAGGGGTTAATGAATGTGATAGACTTTACTCTGAGTTCACGGAGCTTACAGTCTAATGAGAGAGGTAGCCAACAATCAAGGAATACAACATGTTAAGAGCTTCCAGGAGTGGGGAGAGGCATCTTTCAGGGACCTTATGGAGAACATGTAGGGACTCCTAGCCTATTGCTGGGCTCAGGGAAGGCATCTGAGTAAGAATTAATTCAATGGAAGAGAAGGAGTTGGAAGCAGGACTGGAGGTGGGAGTGTGCCCTGGGCAGAGAGGACAGATGGGGCAGGGGCCCGGAATTAGAGAGTGAGTGTGGCATTTCCGATCCCATGGAAATGTTTCAGGGTAAGTGGAGCACAGGACGCCCGAGAGACAATGGCACAGATGAGACTGGAGAGGTAGACAGGGTCCTCCCTCAAAGCTCACATGGAAAGGACACAAAGCTACATGCCATGAGAGCAGACAGAGGGGCTCCATGATTCTGGTCCAGGCAAGATGACTTAGCTCAGGAAGGGAGAGATGAGAAGGACAGGCAGCAGGCGTGTTGGTGTGAGCCTAAAGGAGGTGGGGTGGACAGGGATGACTCAGGAAGTGCCACAATGCTGGCAGGTGTGCACAGGGAGAGAAAAGTCTGGAAAGGTAAGTGGGAGCCAAACAATGAAGGGCCTTGAATGAAAACCTGATACAGGCCCAGAGCCACAGCCGCCAGGGGTATGGAGGACATGGAAATGGGAAGAACTATGGCTTCCCGGCTTAAGAAATGCAGATGAGGCCCACAGCTCCCTCCTGGAGAATTCGCCCCCTTGCCCCCACCCACACACCAGAAGATGTTAACTGGGGATGGGATGGGGGAGGAGGGCAAAGAGGCAACAGAAGCAAAGCAGGGGATCTCTCCAAATTGTCCCCTGGATTTCCAATAAAGCAGCATCCAGAGTGTGTACTCATCTCTGACCTGTGATGGACGAAAGAACCTTTGAGGTAGTGAGATGACTCTTAGCCCCACTGGTAGGTAAAAATGCAATAAAACAAACCCTGAGACTCACAGAAGAAAGTGATTTGCCTAAGGTCCTACGTTAGAAGGTAACAGAGCTGACAGGTGAACTCGGGTCTCAGGACTCTATGCCCCCTTTCCATCCCCTGGTTTGCATCTGTTTAAGGCACGTGAGCGGCGCCCCTCTATAAGGCGTAACTCCCCCGCCAGCCAGAAAGCCTCCGAGTCCTGGAGCGGTGCAGGGGGGGAGGAGGGGTGCAGACGGTGTGGCCTGGCCCCAGGGGAGTGCCTTGCAGGGAGGGTGCCCAGCCCCTGTCTTATTTTAAGTAGAGCCCTATGATGAATCTATTCCAGGAGGATGAGGCCGGAGAGGGCCGCTTCAACTTCTCTGCCTATGGGATGGGCCCCGCCTGTCTACAGGCCAAGGATGGCATCTCGGTCAAAGGCGCCAACAACAACAACACCACCAATCCCGCTCCTGCGCCGTCCAAGTCCCCGGAGGAGATGCGGAAACTCTTCATCCAGAGAGCCAAGAAGATCGACAAGATATCGCGCATCGGCTTCCCCATGGCCTTCCTCATCTTCAACATGTTCTACTGGATCATCTACAAGATCGTCCGCAGGGAGGACGTCCACAACCAGTGACCGGTCCGGGACGGGGGAGGCTGGGAGTGGGTGGTGGGACCAGGACAGGCACCTGAGAGGCGAAAGAAGAGGTGGGAGAGGGCGGGGCACGCACACACGACTCCCACTCTCTCTCTGTACCGTGTGCAATAGCAAGAGGCAGTGATGCATAAGTCTTAGCACATGGCACTCCATTTAACCACGGGGAGCTGGGGGGAGGGGGTTTCTAACATAGGAACTGAGGGGGGAGGAAGGGAAGGGTGCAGAGGGGCGGGGAGAGAGGGGGCGGTCCATGGGCTGTGATGGGCTGTGCAGTTTTGCTGTTTGAAAGGAGAGTGCAGCCTGCCCCAGAGCAGAAGGAAAGCAATGTAATATATGATATATATATTCATGCTTACTATTAATGCAAAACCACACGAACAAACGATGTTTCTTAACCTATCAGCCTAATAACTGCTTAAGTCGTTAAAGTCACGGAAGTGATGGACCATTCCCCCCCACCCCCCCCGAGTGGAAACAGTCACAAATAAGCTTGCTCTGGTGTGTGGCCGCTTCACGCCCCTCCAAACGCCATGCCTGTCTTCGCGCCCACCCTGGCGGACACATGCCAAAGCTTCCGCCTCTGCTTCCACAGGGCCATGTGGCCGGGGCGTGGGCAGACATGGGCAGAGGTGGGGCGCAGAAGGGAGTGATGAAGAGATGGGATGTGTCAGAGGCGCGAGGATGGAGACTCCAGATAACCCTGCGCAGTCCTCAGGCTAAGGGTCGTGCCCTCTCGCTTCTGTGCTCCAGCACCCGCCCCCTTACTGTCCGCTCCCACCCAGAAATGCCACCATTGTCTTCTCATTATATTGCCAATATGCAATCTTTTTTATGGTTAAAAAAAAAGTAATAATCTCAAGAAATAATGTGAGTAGACTTGAGTGTGAACAAATGCACTTTTTCAAATGTCTATTTTTTTGGAAAGCCTCTTTGGAATAGAGAATGGCTGTATAATTGGGAAGGTGGGGTCGGTGGAATGAATGAATGATGACAGGTGATTCTGCAGAGTGAAGTTTTAAGAAGGAGAGGTGGGTACTGAAGCTGCTACAGTATACATATATACGGGTGGGAAGAAATGGGACTGTGTAGAAAGTCTGATCATTATATTTTTGACATTTCATGTACCGCAAATAATGTGGGAGCATGGGGGGATGACCCATTATATTTTTATAAGTCTTTTTTTTTTCTTTTTTGGTGCTTTGTTTAGCTTTAACATTTAGGAAAATTGGACAGCTATTTCTCTTTCCTTCTAACTCTGACATGCCAGACCTATCCCCGAATAGGTAGAGCAACCAGAAAGAAAGGAGAGAGACTAGAACATAGATTGTGAGGGAGGTCCAGCAGAAGGGCCCAGCTGCCCCCGATGGCAGCCTCAAGGGGGGCTGCAGAGGAAAGAGGGGCTGTCTCCAGCAGCCTCCGCCCCTCTCTGCCAACCCCACCAGGCCTGAAGTCCTGGCACCTTGGGCTTGGCCTTCTCCCTGCTACCCGATTCCACTTCTTTCTTTGCACTTTAGTGTCTTGGCTTTGGCTCAAAGTCAGTAGTCGATGGTGAGATGGAGCAGACAATCAGTTTGTACTGCGGCTTGGGGTTTCACTTGTGTCTAGAGTGTCCCCAACCCGGAGCGGGCCCCAGATGAGACACTGGGAGCCTAACCCCTCCCTAAAGCACCTTCCCATGGGGACTCTTCTCCTGTTCCCTGAGGCACAACCGCTGATGCCTGCAGAGGCCAAGACAAGGATCTAGAAGGAGATGCACTATGCAGCCAAAAAGGGATTTGGCTCTGGGGCTTGAGGACAGAGCTGTTTACAGGGGCTTTCGAGGCCAGTGAGTCGTGCCTCCCCTTCTCGGGCTGTGAAGACCAGAGCTGAATTGTGTTCCAGCCCCAGGTGATGTGGGCAAAACCTAGAATCCTTTTCTGAGAAGCACTGACAGAGAGGAGCCATGTGGGGGAGTCTCTCATCCAAGACCATCCTTTCCCACCACAAACTTGTGTCTGTGGAGGAAAAGTTAAATAGAGGGATTGGGACCACCACCAGTTCAAGACCAGAATATCCGCCTTTGAATTATATTATTAGCACCTTTCATATAGCACGATATTCACTTTATTTAAGGGAGCGGGAAAAGCTCCATTCATGAGTCTTTGAAGAGGCTATTAACCCCTTTCACTTAGCACTTTATTCAAAAGAAAAATTATTTTCTAATGAAAAAAATAATAAAGAGGCCCTTCTCCCTTCTTTACTCATTGCTCATCTGAATTCGGAAAGCCCGAAGTCTGGGTGAGTCAGGCAACGAAGGCTCCAAGCCCTGTCGGGGACTAGAGACAGTGCCAATTGTTGAGACATTCTGCCTCCACCCAAACAGCAGAACCCACAGATTTCAGACTGGGATCCCTGGATGACGTGTCCGGAATCTCCCTGAGACAGAAATCACAGGGCCACTTGCCCAACCTCGGCTGGGGCCTTGACCTTCTGCCCATATCCAACTTGCCCACTGGGAGCTGCCAGTTCCAGCAGAAAGTATCCAACAGACAACAGAATGATCTCCTTAGGACACAGAGCGGGGATGTCACTGGAATCTTCCAAACGTGGCATCCAAACACGGCATCCCTCCAAAATTATTCCAAACATGGCATCCCTCACAAAAAACAAATGTGAGTGAAAGGAACCTGAATTCTAAGGCTGCCTCTAACCTGCTGGGTGACGTGGGGTAAATGACTTAGCTTTGCTTTCTCTAAATGCATGTGGGGAGAGTGGTATAGGTGTCCCTAACTCCCTCCTCGCTCTAACTGTGCTTGAGCCGGTCTTCGGGACATTCACCCAGCAAACAGTTTAATGTCGCCTGATTTCTGAACCTCCCCAGTGCACACACACATGTATGTGCACACATATGTGGATCCACACAATTCTTGTTGCCCTCCTTTGAAAAACTGACAGATTCATTTTTCCTCTTGCTCTGCTTTACCAAAGGGGAACCATGGTAGAGTAAACATCAACCATTATAAAGTCAAAACTAGCATCATGAACTAGGCAGGGCGCATGCTCAAGAAGACATTCTCATTAGCGTATAATGTCGCTAAGGATTTAGCAATAAACTACATGGACTTCATCATTATAGAAACTCAAACTAGATAATTTAGGCCAAATACCTTTTAGGTGGCTCCATCATATAGGACAATACTTTCTGAGGATACCATGGCTTAGCACTACATCTGCCAAGTGCCACTGTGAGGGAGAAACTGATTTAGGTACAATGAGTGGTTCACTGGGTTTCAAGCCCTTTACATGTACAGACCAGTATTTATGCGCCAAGGGAGAATTTATACAGGCACAGGGAAGTTGATTTCACCCACCCCCAAAACTGCAGCTATTTCTGGGAGCCAAATTTAGGCGATAGCAATTAAACAGACAGATTAATACCAGTAACTTCCCACCTATTAGTTTATAATATATCTCATTTGTTTCAAGAGCAGCCAAAATAAATGGCTCAGCTCTGCCACCTTCTGGTCCTTTTAAACATTCAATAGTCGGCTCAGCTGTAAATAGAAAATTGAGTGTGCATGCTCATGAGAAATCCCTTAACTATAACTCTAATTTTAGTTCAAGTCTAGAAAGACAAAAGGTCATTTGATCCAAATTATTTCTTCTTTTAAGCTTTTGATAAATAAGAAATGTATGCCCCTACAAAGCTCACCAGTATTTTTCATAGGCTTTTTTTTTTTATATATACTGGGGAGAAAGTAAATATGGCAGGAATGGTTCCTTTCTTTCAAAGTCCCCATTATCATGAGCATCATTAAAAAGAGGTGACTTTATGAGGCTCTATAATGTTAGGTTGCCAAGTAGATTGGTGCCCCAGCTAAGGTGATACAATCACTGACAAGAGGGTCTTTTGTGAAAATTAGATTCCTTAGTTAATTGCAACACTGAAGGGAGTTGTCACTGTGTCTGCAGGAACTGCCTCCTTAGTAGGAACAGCTGGCAAGCAGAGGGCTCGGTAGTGGTGCAATCGTGCCAGCTTCAGGACTGGTTGGAAATCTGGGATTTGCTGCCATTCCCCAGTCCAGCTGGAAGCCCAGGCCTGGACAATGAGCACCCCTCGGGAAGCTGATTTATTCAACCAGCACCTACTGCACACTCTACCCCACTCCGCAAGGCGGTGGGAAGATGGAGCTTTCTCTCTGGGCTCCGTTTCTCGGATTAACCAGAAAACTGCTCTGAGGGGCTGGTGGAGTCTGTTGAGAAGAGGTGATTGGCTCTGTACCCATGATATAAAGCATTGTTAATTCATAACCAACCAGACCAGAAATTCTCTAAACAAACAAGCAGGAAAGGGATTTTTAAGATATAGTTTAGCTCTTTTCCCTCCACTAAGCCCCTTCTCTTAGAAACCCACAATAGAAGTTTGAATTAAGGACCTCTTCTTTTCCTGCAGCTCCATAAAGCTAGAAACAGGAGCTCATCCTGGCCAAAGAGAGGAATAAAAGAACTAGGCCTTGCTTGGTTGAGCTGGCTTACTTTTAGCAATTTGTATCAGTGTAAGGAAGAGCACATGTTGGAAAGGTTTTGGTTTCACAGTACCCTGAAAAAATAAATGGGTAGAATACCTTAGACAGGTTGAAATCCCTATGGATTTAAACTTTTAAAGTCCTAGTCCGTTTGACTCAGAGGATATAGTTGGCCTGTGGACTGAAGGGTTGTCACAGCGTGTGCAGAAGGCAACCAATCAATGTGTGTTTCTCTTCTGTTCTCCCTTCTCTCTTCTTTTAGTTCAAGTCTAGAAATCACTTTCAAAAATAGCTTTTAAATAACTTTTAAAAATCCTGAAATGCTACCTCCCCACCCTAGCCCAATAGCAAGAGAATGAAAGCACTGACTTTTTTCTGACTGTCCACGCTGAAGATCTGAGGATACCAAGGCGTTCAAGGGTGCCCTGCAAGCATCCCTCCCAGGCCCGAGTGGCCTAGAATCACGAGGGCCCA